CGAAGATATCCACATCCCCATCCCTGGAACCAATGCTTGTTACTTTATATTGCAGAAAAGGACTTTGCAGAAATTGTTAAACTCAGAGATTGTAGGGGACTCAGAGATTGAGATTCTCCTGGATTATCTGGATGGGCCACAGGGCGATCCATGCACCCTTATAAGAAGACTTCACACACAAAGAGAAGACAACGTGACCCTGGAGGCAGACATAGGAGTCAGGCAGCCCCAAGCCAAGGAGTGCCGGCAGCCACCAGAAGCCGGTCCAGGCAAGGAACAGATTCCCGGCTAGAGCCTCCGGAGGGAGTGCAGCCAGGCCGATGCCTTCATTTCAGCCTAGTGACACTGACTTTGGACTTCTGGTCTCCAGAACTGTGAGAAAATTAATTTCTGTTGTTTGTTAGAGAAGCCCTCGATACCTCATAGAGACACCAAGAGAATTGAGAATGGCCTCATGGCACCGGAATGCAGCCACCCGGAGCCATCTGCCCGTGCATCGGTTCTGGGTTCAGACTGCCCCCCAGGACATGCCCTGGTCTGTACCTCCAGGGCCTGTTTCTCTCCCTGGATCTTCAGTCTCTCCATCAATTCCAGGAACTCCCTTTGGACATCCCTCCAAAATTTGCTTTTTCTGATTTTAGTTAGCCGAAGGGGCTTCTGTTGCTTGCCATCTTAGATAAGAACCCCCACATGGCAGGGCTATTGTGAGGATCAGGGACAAGCCATATTTGGGGCCAGAAGGCACACAATAAATCAGAGTTCACAAACCAATGGCATGCATTTCACCTGCAAGGTATATTTTTTCCTAAAGTTGAATTTGTTGCCAACATTTACAAGTCAGAAGATTGCGCATAAAATACTGAATTCCTAGCTGCTCTTGAAAGAAGTCAGAAGATCTGGCAGCACTGGACCCCACATCTTCATGGCAACGATTGGCTCGCCCTTACAACTCTAACATGCCACGGTCCCCACCAGGCCCTTTTGTGCACCCAGACTACTCCTTTCAATTTATTCATTGTTCAGTACCTCTGTGCATCCGAGTTTGCAATCCTTGTTACAAACACAAGTCTTTCTTCCGTCAGACTAATGGCAGGGCGCTGGTGGGAGGTTGGGGGGCAGCCAGCCCGGCACGGACCCTCCCCCAGCCCATGGCCCACACCAGCTCCTGGGTATGCACTGAGGGGGCCGGGCAGGGCCGCTCATCCCTCTGTTCCCTGTCTTGAGGCCAAATTCCCAGAAAACGGCCCTCAGAGCTAATCTCAGATGCTCCTCCACTCATCACTGCTCTTCAGAGCAGTTTCCTGGAAGAGTCCACTGGGTTTTCCAGAAAATGTTTCTGGTTGTCTTCTCTTTCCATGACTGTCATTACTTAACTTTCGATGCCCATAATTAGTATAACGGGCAGTCCGTGAGTATCTATCTGCTGCTGACATTTGAAACGTCCCCGTGAGGTAAAGTCCAAGAGGCCAGAAGCACAGCAAGACCACAGAGATGACGCAAATCGCTGTTTGAAGAGCCCCCGGGTGGGATCGAGGGATCGAGGTGGGGTCTGGTCCCCCTTCTCCAACTTGCCTGGGCAGACGCCTTTCTTTATCTGGCCTTGACATTTCCCATGGAAAAGGCAGTGTCTCCGGCAATCAAGCGCCTGGGTGTTGGGATCAGACCCGCGAAGTTCAGATCTCAGCCCTGCCTCTCACTAGCTGTGTGACGTTGGGGAAGTGACTTAACCACTGCGAGTGAGCCTCAGGCTCTTCATCCGTAAAATGGGGATCGTAATATTATTTACCACCTAGAGCTGCAATAAGACAATGAGCCAGTGCATGGAAAGCACGTTGCCCCTTCTGGGCACTTAGTCACTTCTCGAGACGCCTTAGGTGTGGATGAGGAGGAGGAGGAGGAGGATGTCCAGGGGCAGGGGCCAGGGGAAGGAGTGGAGAGTGTATGAAATGCCTGGGAGCCAGACCGGGGTGGTCAGAGAGCCAGAGAGGGAGGAGAAAATGTGGCCACTTTTGATATTTCAAAAAGTCCAGTGGAATCTCGCATCTATTTACCCACGATAAAGCCACAGAGGATAAACAAGAACGGCCACTTTCTTTGCTTTGGGCTGGAATTATATTAACTCCTTGGGTAAACGGAGACACTGGAGTTAAATGGACCTGCGCACGGACCGCTGGCAGGGTGTGTGACCTTGTGTAAGGAGAGATGGACAGCGCTGGCCTTGCAGGGCAGTTATGAGGATTGAATGAGGTAACGTATAGGAAGCATTTAGCACGGGGTCTGGAACGGTGCATGACGGCCACCATGGCAAATATCCTTCTTTAGCCTCCCTGGGCCTCAGCTTCTTCACTGGTAAAATTAAAATCATACCACCTGCTTTACTCATTCGACAAATAGTTACTGAGCCAAGGACTATGAATGCAAAAATGTATTCGCCAGACAGAGTTCACGGCCTCTGAGAACCCACGGTTTGAAGTTGCTTATTATTCATCCATTCAACAAATATTTTTACTGAACATTTAGTACGTATCAGGCTGCCTAATGGACATTCGAGATAAAATAGACAGTCAAACAAATTCAATCCCTAGCTACCTACAGCATCATAGCCCAGAGAAAATACAGTAAAACAAACTCGTGAAATGCCTAGCCTAGTCAGTGTTCAATAAATGAGTTATCTGGGTGCTAACCAGAAGCTCTGCGTGTGTAACATTGGGAGAGTCAATTCACAAAAACATGGAAAATTAATGATTTCTTAACACATGAAGTCTGTTTGGTAGATGGGCACTTTTAAACTACGAGAGAAGTCCAGAGAAAATGAAATATCTAAGTACACATTTAACAAAACATGTAGGATCTGCATGCTGAAAATTACCAAATGTTGGTAAAAGCAAACGAAGAAGGCCTAAATACATGGAGAGGCATGCAGTGCTCATGGAGTGGAAGACACACACGGTAAAGCTGTCAGTTCTCCCCAAAATGATCTGTAGGTTTCATGGAATTCCTATCACAATCCCAGCTAGCAAGGTTTTTTGTAGACAGACATTTTATTCTAAAGTTTGGGAAGGAATAGGCCTTAAAGGTGCTGAAACAATTTTGGCAAAGAAGAACAAAGCGGGAGAAATGGCTCGGCTCAGTATTAAGGCTTACCGTACAGCTACAGTATCGAGAGAGTGTGCAGGGATAAATACACAGATCAATGAAACCGAATAGAGGACCCATAAGTAGCCCCACACAAATGTGCTCAATTTGACAAAGGTGCAAAAGCAATTCGAAGGAGGAAGGATAGCATTTTCAACAAATGGCACCGAAGCAACTAGAACATCCACGGGCAAAATAAAAAATCATCCTCAATCCAAACTTCATGCTTCATACAAAATTTCAGACAGTTCATGGACTGGACTGTAAAGCATAAAACTTAAAATTTTTTTAAAATAGGAGAAAAATCTTCTGTTTCGAGGGCTAGGCAAAAATTTTTAGACTTGACACACACACATACACACACACACAAACCCAAATTTATGAAAGAAAAATTGATAACTCGAACCTCATCAAAATTAAAAACCTTTTCTTCACGAAAGTTCATGTGAAGAGGATGAAGAGACAAGCCAAAGACTCAGAGGAAATATTTACAAACCATAGATTCCAAAAAGGATATGTAAAGTATTCTCGGAACTCAATTGTAAAAAAAAAAAAAAAGTCCAATTAGAAAATGGACGGAAGACGTAAACAGACATTTCGCTGACGAGGAGGTGCAGATGGCAAATAAGAATGTGAAAAGGTGTTCAACTCAGCAGCTGCCAGGGAAATGCCAATGAAAACCACAATGAGATGTCCCCATACGACTACCGAAATGTCTAAAATAAAACCATGACAAAAACAACAAGTGCTGTAGAGGATGAGAAGAAACCAAATTATTCATATATTGCTGATGGCAATCAACATGGTACGGCCATTCTGGAAAAACTATCACGCTGTTACCACATGACCCAGCGATTGTTCCCTCAAGCATCCCAGAGAAATAGAAACAGGTTCACACAAAAACCTGTATAAGAATGTCCACATCAGCTCTACTTGAAAGAGGCAAACACCGGAAACAGCCGGACGTCCTCCAGTGGGCGGCTAGACAAATTGGTACATCCGTGCCATGGAATACTCCATGGCAACGAGGAAGCAAGAACTACTGATACCCGCCATGATCTGGGTGCATCACCAAGGAATTCGGCTAAGTACCAAAGAGCCAGGCTCTAAAGCTCACATACTATTTGATTCCATTGATATGAGATTTTTGAAAAGATAAAATTTTAGAAATGGAGAACAGATTAGTAGTGGTCGCCAGGAGTTAGGCACATTGGGGAGTGGGGCGGGGTGCGGGCGGGGGAAGGGGGCGGGGAGGGCATCAAAGGGCAACACGAGGACCCTCTGGTTCGGCATCTTGACCTCAGTGGTGGATACACAGAACTACCTACGTGATGAAATGACTTAGCATGAAACACACACACACATGAGTACAAGGACAGCAAGAGACCTGAATAAGATAGATTGTTCCCATGGTAATAATTTAGTTGTGATATTGTACTCAGGCGATGCCACCACACGGGGAAAGTGAGTAAACGGTACACAGGATTCCTAGATTTTCTCTTACGACTGATGTGAACCTACAATTATATCAATAAAAAGTGCAATTAAAAACAACTTTTATTGTTTTGTATTTAAACTCGCATTTTATTGAAAACTCGAAAATACGGAAGGAAAAAGATCAGAAAAATCATCATCCTTCAATACAATCTGATGCATTTCATTCTGGTGTTTGTCTATATTTATGTGAAAAAAATGTGAGAGCGCTAAAATTCAGGGTGGTGACAAGGCGTGGGCCTTGCTGTCCCCACCTTCTGTGACATCAGAACTCACTGCTTGAGGGATGCCTGGTGACCACAGGCTGTGGAGAGTGGCCATCTGCCTTTCCGTGGGGACTTTGTTCTGCCCTGGCAGCCTGGCCTGAGGCCATGGCGACCCAACAGGTGGGCAGCAGGGACCAAGGAGCAGCAGAGCCGTCTGCACGGAGAAGGGGCAGTCGTTGTGAGGACAAGAAGCAGGTGAGGCCAGAGCAGGTGTGCGCTGCTCCCCGCCCATCGGGGCTCCCTTCGCCACCCCCAGACGGGCGGTAAGGCCCTCAGAGTCAGGGACGGGCTCTGAGCCCCACTGTCCCTGAAGCCCGGCCCGGCGGAACATGGCATCGCGGTGCGGGCACTTCATCCCGAAGCCGGTACTGATGCTCTCGTGTCCTTCCCGGCACCGCCAGCAGCGGCTGAGCTCCAGGAGGCTGGGGTTTTAGTTTCCTGCTCCATCCTTAGTGCCCAGAATGGTGCTTGGTACATAAGTACTGGATGGATGGATGGATGGATGGATGGATGGATGGATGGATGGATGGATGGATGGATGGATGGACAAATGAACTGAAATAAACAGGATAATATACCTGAATTGGAGAGCTCTTGGGGTATTTGTTCTTCGAGCTGAAATTCAAACGGCACCTGGGATCTTTGTCAAAATGGAAGATGCTAACACCTGTTGTGCATTACCTGGCGCTTCCGCCCCAGAGTCTCTTTCCTGACCTTTTACAATATTCCTGAGAGGCGGCTGGTATCGACCTCACTCACGGACGGGTAAACTGAGGCTCAGAAAAACACAAAGGCCATACAGCCAGGCCACGCTGTGGTCTGAAAGCAGGTCCATCTGCTTCCAGAGCACTAAGCAAGGAACCCTGCGCCCACCGCCTCCGGGTGGAGGAGCAAGCGGGGCCTTGCACGCCATGCAAAGGATGCGGTTTCATTCGAGATTAATAAGAAGCCATCGAAAAGTTTTAAGCGGAGCAATGGATGACTGATCTATATATGTTTTCAAAAGATTTGTTCACCTGTCTAACACACACGCACCACAGCCTCCTTTATGCTGGACCTCACAGCAAGATGGGGGCCTCGAGGGGCTCCCATCATGTTGCAGCTTTTCCTAAAAAGCGTTCCACAAACATCAACCCCCAGGCATGCTCCTTTTAGAAAAATCAGAAAAAGAATTCTGTGATTTGGAGAATGCTGATACCCTCGTCGCCTCTGGGACACTGACACTGCCTGTTTGCATAATGACGGCCCTGAGATGTCTTGCAGCAGGGAAATCCACTTACCTCGGTTTACACGAGTTTTGGCATTTCCCAAATCGACTCGAGTCCCACCCCTCCTTTTTGAAAGAACTTTCGGTATGTTTCGAAGTCCATTTTGCAGATAAAGAAATGGAGGCTGAGAGAAGCAATGATTTGGCCCCGAAAAGAAAGACTAAAACTTAACCTTAGTCTCTGTTCCCCCATTTGCCTCCAGAGAGCACAAAACAGAAACGCAGCGGCCCGCAGGCCGGTGAAAAAGTCGAGCTGTAACGCACGTCGCCAGAGGAGCGGTCAAGGGAACAGAAGGGCACTCAGACCACCGCAAACTCAGCCGCCGCAGCGAAGGACGAGATGGCCTGCGTGTCTTACGCGCAAAGGTGCCCAGGGAACACTGTTTTGAAAGAGCATCCTAATCTGAAGTGCACAGAGCAGGGACTGCTACAGTGGGTGTACTCACCGGGCGTTCACGGCCCACGTCAAGCTGTAGAACTTGCTATATCCCAGATGGTCCCTCCAGGCCCCCTCCCAGCTCACACCCCATCCGTAACCACGATTCTGATTTCTGTCATCGCAGATGAGCTGGGTGTGTTCTCAGATTTCACAGGAATGAAATCAAACAGGGGGCATCTTTGCATCTGGCTTCTTTCACTCACCAGGGTGTCTGTACGACTCAGCCACATTGTAGCAACGTAACCTATTCTTATTTTTGAAGTCAATAATGAGAATATATAGCTGCTAGTGTTTGTAAAGAAAACTATCTGGGGGAGAGGCAAACCATGCCAACCTTTTATCTCCTTTGTTGTGGTAGCAGGTCTAAGTCTTGCTTCACAAGCCAGGTACATAAGAAACATATGATTTCAAGTCATATTAAATCTACATCTGGTGAGTGTGTTGGAAATTCAATGGCAGTCAATACTGGGTGCTCCTTAATCCTCTGTCCACTTTTGCTTGGCCCTGGCATCGTCCCTGTCTCAACACGCATTGTGTGTCGGAGGCAGGTATTTCTGAATTCCTTATGCCAAAGCCTGCCCAGGCACACCACGAGGTCACCAGGAGTCGGTGCCAGGCCCCTACCAGGCTCAGACCACCCCTCTCTTCTCTTGCCTCCCTAAGAGGCACTCACTTTTACATCCTCCAGATCCTGGCCTGTCCCAAGGAAGCATCACTGTTTAAGGCAGCGCCTCGGCTCCACCCTGCATCGAAACCCTATGAGGCTGCGGGTGAAATGTACAGCATGGCAACTATAACTAATTATACCAAACTGGATATTTGGGAGTTGCTGAGAGAGGAGAAACAACCCAAAAGCCCGTCAACAGGTGAAGAGATTAACTGCTGGGTTCACACAACAGAGCATTACCCATCCATAGCACTGAACACACAAACATGGAGACATCAGCGAAGCCCTACGCTGAGCAAAGGTAGCTCATTCCAAGAGAGTATGTACTACGCCATTCTATTCACGTGAAACTCCAGAGTGACCAAAAACGGATCAGCAGCTCTCTCGGGCAGAGTGGGGAACGGAGGTGGGTCAGGAGGTTGCTGACTACAAAAGGGCAGAGAATGATGGAAACGTCCTCTATCTTGATTGGAGCGGTAGTCCACAGGTAGAGATGTTTGTCAAAACCCATCGAACTCTACCTTCGAAACGCGTGCATTTCGTCGTAAGTAACATATACCGCGATGAGGTCGATTCCTTTTAAAGATCCTTTGAAACAAACAGACAACAAAGCAGTAGAAGGACGGCAAAGGATGAGAGCAGAGGTGGGTCTTCGTCCTCAGCAGGGAGGAAGGAGGGAAACGCAAATGAGATGTCAGCGAGTTGCCATGTCATCTATTTCTGCGGCGCTCGGGGGTTCTGCGGTGAGCCTATGCGACTTAGGTAACTAGAAAGAAGTTAAGTCCTAAACATGGTCTTACCGCTGCCCCATGCCTAGCCCTCTAGGGAGCTGGGTGCCCCGTGCCCTCCAGCATTCACCTCCCCGCACCCCTCTCGTCCCCAGACGCTGTTGGTGTTGCTGGTCTTGGTGCTGTACGTGGGCACGGGGATTTCAGGTAAGCATCCTGGAAGGTGACAAATTGGAGTCAAGCCCACACTGAGTCAGGGTGTTCTGCCAAGAGGTCCCCGCGGCTTGCCTTCTCCTGTCGCCTTTCATCCCACTGAGGTGACCAACCACGTTTGTGTCACTGCTGTTCACTTGCCTTTGGTAAGAGGTGCATCTGTGCCTGCTTCAGGAAGAAGCTGGGAGGTGTCGGAAAGGATCAGAGAATGTGACTTCCCCCAGAACCCTGTGGCTTCCCAGGTAACATACCCGGGAAGGTACAGAGGGGATGTCAAGCTGGGCTGAGGAAAGCTGGGGAGGCTTCCTGCAGGTGTCATTGGCAAGCTGGGTCTTGAAGGAGAAGTAGGCGCCAGCCAGGTGGAGAGGGGGGGAAGGGCATTCCAAGCAGAAGGAACAGCATGCGCGAAGGCTCAGGGAACTTTCCGAAACCAGTGGCAAAGGGGTCCTACGTGGAAAAGCTCAAGGTGCCACTTTGGTGTCTGCCTTGCAGGGGTTTGAATACCAGACCG